ATTTGAAATTTAACATGGTGTTTAAGGTTTAATAAGATGATTGGAAGCATAGCATTCTTGCAGAGTGTTCCATAGAAAGGGTTCTTGGTTTGTTAAGGTGATACTATAAATTCTGGAAAATACTATAAATAATTGGAAGTCACTGTTCTTGGTTGCTGCGTGTACTGGTGCTCCCCCCCCCCTTTTTTTTTCTTTTGCCCCTTTCTTTTCCTCCCTTTCCTCCAAAACAGGTGCATCATATATCAAGAAAAAAACTGAAGTTGCCAGGTACGGATATCCACAGAATAGCTCTTTCTTTTCTTTCAATGGTTTACATGCTTTGCTATGATGCCTGCGCAGTCATCTGGTCCATCTCTCTGTGTCTCTTTGCAGCTTGTGTACTTAGTCTGCATAAAGGCTTGTCGTTGTTCTTAGGTTTTTGTCAGCAAGTTCATCTGCTTTTGCTATGCTAGAAAATCTTCTTAGGATTATATTGGGTTGATGTGGCTTTGGTCTCTTTTTTGCAGGAGTAGAAATAAAGATATAAAAATGGCAACAAAGTTGATTAAAAATATGGAGAGGTTTCTGTATGAGTTAGCAAATTGTAGCAGGTTCAAGAACAACATACAGATGGGCTTATTTATTTTTATCCAGTGTATAATTACACTTCAGAGTTTGTGAATTTCTGCCATGTACAAATTTGTGACTCAAGATCAGAAGGCAGTTGGAGAAATTTTATAATTATCACAGATGGTTTTTTTCTTCCGTGGGAAAAGTATACTACATAGCTACTGACGTTGAGCACTAACTTTTTGTGGGAACAGGAACAGCAAAGTATCACCAGCATGGTGCTTAACTACTGGCCATTGTCAGAGGTGAGAATGCTGATTCAGGTGGATCTGTGGTCTAGTCCAGGATGGCTATTTTTACATTGCTCCTCCTTGCTAAGCCGGAATCAGTCACAGACTGTCTCATAAGCTGGCTGGCAATGATAGGCTTCTCGGATCTGTGACGTTAACTGTTGGTCCCCTACACTTCAAGAAACCAAGCAATATCCCGCAAACATTTCTTTTAATCAACTTAGCATACGAAATAATGCAACTACTCCTGGCAAAAGTATTTGACTTTTCTGTCCCTTCCTCCTCTATCCCCTGAAGACATTGAGATGGAGAGATAAGAGGAAATAAATAGTTAGCACTGTATATCGA